GTGAGACCAGCTCACTAGAACCAGTAACTTTCATCACACACAAGAACCCTGGAACTCCCTGGACTTGCATCATGACTGTGTTGGCAGCTTAATTACTAGAAAATTACAGCTGTCCTCAGAAGACTGATTTTTCTCAATATTTTTACCCAAAACTGACAGATGTACTTCAGGAAAACTATTTTAGTTATCATAGTTTGATGTGGCACTGTGTACCTGGACAGAGGTGGGACTGAGATCCACAGATAAAACTTTAAACCTTGRAATTTAAGGAGTGCTGTGGCTGATAACGATGAGAAGTTTTGAGATTATGGTTTGAGGGAAATCATGAAATGCTTTGGTTTTGGAATAAGCTGGTGCGAAATGCCTCTGGGGAGGACATGTCTGTGTTTTAGAACATAAAATTGCTTCTGAAGTCTCAGGAACTGAGCAGCATTAAAGAAAAAGAATGAATAAAGCGTTTAAAAGTAGATGCAGAATGAAAGACAAGTCCTTCTGAGGCCCCAAAGACAATCAGGCCCTGTAGACAATCTGTGTTTTCACTTGTATCTTTTGAGTTGGGAAGAAGATGGCAGCTAATGGCAGCTGTTTTGAAGTGGAAAAAAAAAGTTTTTTAATTACTGGAACTGGTTTTTGTACTTCAGAGCAGGATTTTCTACTTAGGATGTGCAGAGGGAGGGGAAAGCCCATTTTTCATGGTAGCATTATTCAGAAGCCAGTGCTCATGCTCATCTCACTCGCACAACACACATGCTACCTGCTACTCCTTCTTCTCTATCTACTGAAACTTTGGTGCAGAAGCTCCTTGTTTACATGAAGCACTTTCTGATTAGGCTGGAAATTTACACCTTTTCCTCCTATAAATTTGATGGAGATGACAGATTATTGACTATTTTGCTTGAGATAGAGGTATGAACATTAAGTTTTCTTGAATGAGGGAGACTCACGCTCCTTGTTCTGTTAAAGAGAGAGCTCAGACTTGTGTTTAGTGAGCAACATGCAAAAACGTCTTATTCCCCTTTCCCCAAACCCAACTCTTTCCTTAATATATGGATGAATAACTTAATTCCTGAAACACACTCTTCCTTTGACATGTTTTGTTGTTCCACGGAATTATTGTAGTTTGTGTATTAGTAACTGCTGTGTTGATTGGCAGTTTTGTTGTATTTTTCCTGTTCTTAAGGATTTTCACTTATGAAAATTAAGACTGTGGCCACCTGTACTTGTAAGCCCTGGGTTTTGGTCCCRGAATGTCCCAAATGTATGTCTTAGGGGTTTCTTTGGTTTGGATTTGGGGGGGACTTTAGGAGGGTTGGGTGTTTTGTTTGGGTTTTTGGTTTGGTTGTTTTGGTTGTTTTTCTGGGGTTCTTTTTTTTTTTTGAAAGAACACTAATGCTGTTTGAAGCACTGTTCTTCTAATAATTCTATGCTTCTATGATAGAGGTGGTGCTGAGCCCTGCTGGATGCAGGGTACAGCTTAGAGGGAAACTTGTAAAACCGCATTTGGGGTTTCTGTAATTATCTGTACTGCCAGAAGGCAGCCCTGCCCTTGGCAGTGTTATGGATTTGTTTCTTGTCCTTGTGTTGTTACTGGTATAAAGTCAAGTGCCTTCAATGCTAAAGGCTCAGAAAACTTTCTTAAACTGACTTCATGTCCTATGCAAGTGTTTTTTCTACAACCTGCATAACCAGTACTTTGTAAAACTTGTTTACGCTTCAATTGTACATAGTGTTTTTTAAAAAAAAATAGTATTTTTATTTAGGTACCTCCAAACTTGAATTCTAGTCTTGTGTGATGCATTGTAAAACAATACATTTCTCTTTTGAGTACCATTACAGTTGTAAAAAGGTTTTCACTGGTTCTATTTTTCTACTGTTGCTGAGAAGCATGTAACACTGACTTTATCCTACGTATAGTTGGCATTTCAAATAAATGGCTTGTATAGAACTGGTTGTGTTGTGTCTCCCCTGAGCAGCTGCTGCCTGCACCCACCACCCCACCCTGCTCACTCCAGACTGCAGCGACCGGGGCTGGGGAACGGAGCCCAGCAATGCACACAGAAAGGTGCCCTCCAAGTGTGAGGGCTCCTCAAACTGACAAGGTTTGTTCCTGCTGGGGAAAAAAGGTGCACAATAATGCTTTGAACACCAAAGACATTTATATAAATCAGTGTAAAATACATAAATCACTCTGATCAGGCAGTTTTTAAAAATTAAAAGCATTTCAGTAAAGTCATTGTGTGAGTTCTGGCTGGAGCCACACTGAGGCTATGCCTTGTGAGAGGCAATAGGAGTGCTCAGAGCTGGGGCCATGGGACACAGCCGTGGGTCCAGGAAATRCGTTCATTTTTACATTAGAGCAGCTGGACAGATACGTTCAGTACCCAGCATTGCTAGGTTGCAGTTTTCCTGCTGACTGTTCCAGATGACTATTCATTACATCTCTCAAAAATCAAAGGCCTCACTGCTTCAGAGCGATGACTGAAGTTCAGAAGTGTCATCCGGCCACTTGCCTGGTCTTGTTTTGATGTACAAGTGCAAAATACTGTGAGTTATCCTGCTGTTATCCTGACACAGAGCACAGGTGGGTGAGGAGAGAGAATTGTGTGGTCCTACATGTTAATTACTGATACCTTCACTCCCTCACATAGGAAGATGAGTTTTGGTAGCTTCCTAAATTAGACAGTTTTAACTTCTTTTGTTACAGGCTTTGTCCCTTYGCAACACCGCAACACTTTGCTTCTAAGCCTGCTACCCTCAGAGAAGAGGGTGCCTGATGTCCCTGCTAAGGGGAGGCTTTAGGCATTGGAAAGCGGTGTGTGGGGGCTCGGTCCCTTTCAGGTGAGCCCTGCTTCAGTACAGGCTGATGCCAAGAATGGGCAGTGCTGATGATTAGTGSTAGCCCCTGCTGTGCAGCTGGAGCCATGGGAATTCCACATTTGAACTCATTCCTTCCACCACTGCTCTATTTTCTCAAGGCTAGTGCTGGGCGATAAAGCATTTCTGTGTGCATGGGAGCCTTTCACTGCTTTTTTATTTCCTGTGGAGAACACGATTGCCTTTGGGTACCCTCTCCCCCACCCCTTAAGTGAATTACAAAAACTGCAGTGCACTGAAACATRACTTCATCCTGCTCTAAACTGTACTTGCCAGTAGGCTGCAATCCCTTCTTTCACACCTGGGTCRGGTGGAGGCAAAGGTCTAGGAATCCTGGTCTTGACTGGGCCCCCACTCTGTACCTCGGTGGCTTGGCTAGCAGGTCATTGCTGGGCTCCTTGTGTCTGCCTGGATCATGGATGGAAACAAAACACTACAGCAGCACTGAGAAAGAACAAGACAGTACACATTGAACAGTTAATTTTTTTTTATATTGTAGTTAGATGTGCAGTTACAGTTAGATGTCCTGTAACAGCTGCTACCAAAAAAAAGCATGTACAATACCCAGAGTTAAATTTAAAAGCAACTAGGGAAGGGACCTGGAGGGGGTCCATGACCAGTTGAACATGTGTCAGCAGTGCCCTGGCAGCCAGGAGGGCCAAGCGTGTCCTGGGGGCATCAGGCTCAGCATCGCCAGCCGGGCAAGGGAGGGATTGTCCCACTCTGCTCTGAGCTGGAACAGCCTCACTTCGATTGCTGGGGGCAGATTGGAGTGCCACAACATAAAATAGATACAAAGCTGTTAAGAGAGTGTCCAAAGGAGGGCCAGGAGGATGGAGAAGGGCCTTGCGGARAAGCTGTGAGGAGCAGCTGAGGTCACTTGGTCTTTCAGCCTGGAGGAGACTGAGTGGAGACCTCATCACAGTTAAAACTTCCTCAAGAGGGGAAGAGAGGCAAGCACCCACCTCTTCACTCGCACGACCAGTGACAGGACTCGAGGAAATGGCATGAAGCTGAATCAGAGGTTTAGACTGGATTATCARGGAAAGAATTTTCACCCAGAGGGTGGCTGGGCAATGGAACAGGCTCCCCAGGGAAGTGGTCACAGCCCCAAGCCTGCCTGTGTTCAAGAAGTGTTTGGACAACACTTTCAGGCACATGGTGGGATTCTTGGGGTATCCTGTGCTGGGCCAGGAGCTGATTTTTGATGATCCTGATGGGTCCCTTCCAACTCAGCTTACTCTATGTTCTATGAAACTGCTTAGCTGAGCATCTATGCTAAACTACTGTTTGTAAATAAAGTGGTCAGAAACAGTTAATAGTAAGCATGATAAAAGTCTACTTTTCTTTTCAAAACCCATTGTCATGGAAGCAGAATAGTAGCCCATGGCCTAGAAATCCTCAAAAACTAGAAGTTTCATGTATGTTTTGGGGTCTATCTACATTAGGCTCCCAACTTAAAAAGTCTTAATGCAGCTAAGTGTAGAGTCTTAAAAGTCAGTGAAACAGCTCCTGTCCCAAGATTATCACAGTGGTTATAAAAAGAACTGTATACTGTAGCAAAATATCAGGATGCTGCAGTATTTTCAGCAACATTTATAAAGTAGAAGAGTTTGCTGTAGGCTAGTTTTTAAAATCAAAGTATATAAGAAACCCCCCCCCCCACTTAGTTCATAATTTAGTACCTCCTCCTAGCAATTATTTATGTTCTGATGAGTGAATTTAAGATCAGGTGACAATTTTTTTCCATGTAAACCATCTCTGTCCAATCTTAGAAATAAGTTTTTTAATGCATAAAACCAGATAGAACACTCTGCATCAAGCAAACCTTGCTTTCCCATTTGTGAGCAGCCCAAGAAGTGCTTCCTCAGCAGCGAGCAGGTAGGCAGCAGCACTGGGTTCACTCACAGCCAGGCCCCCTCCAGCCCCTGGGGAGCCACGAGCCTCGGGCCCAGAACAGACACCTCCTCGGTGCTGGGAGCCCTCACCAGGATCGCTACAGCCCCGAGGGAGGAGACAGAGCCATCCAAGCAGGAAAGCCGGGAGCGTGCCTTCCGCGGGGCAGGGTAGGGTAGGGCGGGGCAGGGCGGGGCCAGCACAGCCACAGCTCCAGGCACCAGCAGGCACCAGCAGGCACCAGCCAGAGGCCGCAGGGAAGCTGCAGGATTCCCTGCTCTGGGACCAGCCCTCCTCTCCCTGGAGACAAGGCCGGCTTCCACGGGAATGCAAAGTCGATCGCTACTGAAATCCCTCTAACTGCAATGCAAGGATTTGTTAAGAAAATGTTTTAGGTGCTACAAATAAAGGAAGTATAAGACAAAATGATGATGTTTCTTGGACAGCTGGATTTTGATGAGAAGCCAGAAACTGAAGATGCCTTTTCTGTTTGCCAGTGAACATTGTTTTCCCAGTTGTCCTTTCAGACCCAAACCCTCTCAGTCTAACTACAGTAGTACTGCATCCTGTTAGTCCGTCGTCTTTTCCGTGACTGAAATTCTTCAAAGAAGTGCTGAATGTCTTCTCTTTTAACCACCTAAGTAGGAGAAACAGTATGAAATCCAAGTTGTGGTGCAAGAGCTTAATTAAAGAATCCTATTTTATCCCCATATATAATACACAAAGCACAGAAAAGCAAAGACCCTGAAATTTCTCTGGTACAACTTTCCTGTTGCACCCAAAGGAGAGGATTAAYGCCCAAAATTTATTATAGATAATACAGAGAAATGAGTTCCCCAAAGGCAGAACAAACACATGGAGAAAAGCTCCCAATGGTATTTTAATGACTTTGACCTCTTGCTTTTACCATCAGAAAATTTAACACAAAGCAAGATTTTTGCTAGCTCACTTCAARATCATTCCTATTTAACTAAGAAAGGCAATACAAGAAGTCAGCCAACAAAATGCAARTGTTACTTAACAACAGCATGCAAATTCCTGTAGGCAAACAACAAGACTAAATAATCATAATAAATCATAATAAATTCTTAGTTTTCTAAGGGTTTAGATTGAATCTAAGAAAAAAAAGAAAAGTTCAGAACTTTTGTCCCTGAATATTTTACCTAGAGCAACACAAGTTTCATTTAAATGTAAGAACTGGTCTCAGTACCTTGCAGACAGATTTCTGTAAAGTCCCCGTTATCTCTCAACAATGTCCTTAAGGAATTGTTAAACTTGAATGAAATCAAGAATTTCTAATTTCTACTGCAGTAACAGCAACTCCAAGAGACAGGAAAAAACATTACAACCCAGCATCGCGGTATTCACCACCCAACCCTCAACAGTTCTTTAAAATTTTCTGGCAAGCAAATTCCAGAAGTTGAACCTTACCGTTCCCTCATCTGCAAACCTCCTGAGATAGTCAGTCAGTTCTGTCTTCAAATCATTGTATTCTGGATGGTGAAGACAAAGAAAACAAAACAGTAAGATACCCAGTTATAGTAACACTGGCTCAAGAACACAACTTGTTCTACTTCCTCTTGTGATTTGTTTACTTCAGACAAATCTAGGTTTGAATTTGATTATAAATAATAATGTAAACATGAGAAGCTTAATAATTTATGAGACAAACCTATGTAGTGTGAGTTGCTGTTTGGGTTGATTTCAGAGAACGGTACAGAGATCAGTGAGGGAATCTGCACAATTAACTAAAAGAGTGCCCCTGCTCCCAGCTTCCCACTGGGAAGCACATGTGGGTCGTGGCGGAAAGTCCAGCCTRTAACTCGGGATTGGGCATCTGTCCTTGCCAGAGTGCAGAGCCCTCCCTGGAAAAGAGAAACACAGCTCCAGGTATAAAACACCTCAGCAATGCCTTGTCAGGATGCTCCGCAGCAGAGCAGATGCCTGGCTGGCACTCCCCAGACAACAGGAGATGGCCAAACAACAGAACGGGATAAGATAAATCAGCCAGACAGCAGAAGTTCAAATTAATGTTTAAATATTCACATTACAATAAATTTTTATCAATACAGTATCCAAGATGTTAAACAGGGTGAAAGTTCTCACACCATCTAGTGTCTCACTGTAAATTACAGTTGCAATGACGGGCCAAGAAGGACAATCCTGACTGAGGGGTGCAATTTATCRTACAGTCATCTGCATGTTACTTCAAAAACAGTTTGAAACTACACYGCAAGGCCTGATACCAATCTCTTGTGGCAAACTTCAGTTAATGTGTGTTAAGACGGATTCTAAAAATGAAGTTGTGTTTACCACAGATGAGTTCCACTTGCTGGACCCTGTTCATGCTGTTAAGGGTGTCCATTAAAGGATCTCTCCTCTCTGTCTCTTGGTCAMTGGTACCCTTATTTTCATAAGCCAAGACAGTGTCACATTCATCTGTCAGGAACTGGACTTCAAGCTCTGAATACATTTTCTGGAGAATAAGGAAAAATTTACTTTTATGTGACAAAACTTCTCAAACCAAGACATTCTCAGATGGAGGTGCTCTCCCCCAATCATTCTGTGTTCAGTATCACAAATAACAACAATAAAAATCGTAAGGTAAATTTGTATCCAGTATTTCAGAATCTCCTCATAACAACTTTCAAAGCAATATTGGATTTAAGCAGCAAAGAAAATACAAACATTTAGAAGCCCTTTCATGCTCTATTAATTCCATAGAATTCAGCGTGAATCTTTATGTGGAGTAAAGGAGGTTTCAGTGTTTATATGCAGCATTAGGAATATTTACACAGATTTTACCTAAAGCTTCTCCTCAGTGATTGTCTGGGAGCTCCTCCCTGCCTCTCCCACATCTGTGATGGTAATGAAGAGAGTATACATACCAAACAGTCTTCACAGGTGCATAATTTGCTCCTCCAGTTCGATGGCCAAAAGGTGGCAGTATCTTTTTTTACAAATGGCTTGCTTTGAAGCTCCTTCAGCTTGCAGACTGGCTTCTCGCTCTTAGTAACTACCTGAATTAAAATGAGAGTGTTCAGCATTCTATAATGTCACTTCAAAGACACCCTGTTTTTTTCGGTACGTCCTTTGCCTTAGGCAAGATTTTTCTTTTGTCTCAAACACATTTATTTTTATAAACAACCTATATTACCATTCACAAGAGAATTCKGATGTGGTTTCAGGAATTTCCACTGGAAATTTCTGTAGAAATTTACTGCAATAACCATAAGTATTTAGGAACTCAGAGATGAACCATCATGCAAGTGCAGCTACAACATGTATTAGAACAAACAGAAGTCACCTCAGTGTAGTGGCCAGATGGCCAACAAGAAGGGACAGATGTAGCCCATCTGCAAACAGACACTGCACCTCCTGAGAGCCCTGTTCCACAGCCCATGCTGTGCTCCACAGAGACTGCAGCTCTGAAGGGTCACTGACTGAAGAGGAACACGGGAACAGGCTGAACACAGCCACCCTTCCCCTGAGCTGTTACAGAGCAAGGTGGGCTTTAYTTCAACTACCAGCAGTAATGAAAATGTGCAGGTCAGAAAAGAAAGTACATTTTACCTCAGGACAGGCAGACCCAGAGCTAGTAGATGGTTCATTGAATTGCTCCAATTGCTTTTCCTCCTTTGTGTCTTGGTGTTCCACTCCACTTTCTTTTTTTATTTCTTTCTTCTGCTCTTCACTTTCCTCTACCTTCAGGACAATGCCTTCATCTTCAAGGGAGTTTGCTTTGGTCAAAGGAGGAACTGGAAGATACATACCCATGTCAGCGAAAATACTGTGCCAGAAAAAGTACAGGGCACTACAGATGTTCTTTCTACATCTCCTATTCTAAAACACTCTGCTTCCCAAAATCTAAGCCCTAGGAGAGGGAAGAAGTTATCACAATTTGAGAGAGTTCTTTACTAAGATGCTTGTCCTTCTTGATAATCCTTGATAGCTATCACAGTTTCAGTAATTATCACATGCTTTTTTGCTGACTGTGTCAGAGCTTTTAATTTTCTCCAGTSACACACCCCAAAAACACCATCACAGATTAACTATGTTAATTTCTTKTTTACTTAAAACAAGTTTTTGTTTTGATGCCAATTCAAGTATGTGCCCTGGTTAGGAGGAAAACCAAAAACAGACAAACACCCTGTTCTGTACTATTTACATTAGAAGGAAGAGAGCTCCAGGTAGCCATCCTTGAAAAACCACTGAAATTTCAGGCACATGAGATATCAATCAGCAGTTGATACAAGTAGTATAGAGGAGACTATGAGAAATCAGATCTTTCCTCATAAACCAAGTCATCCACTCTCAAAAGACCACAGAGCTGAGAGAGGCCTGGTGTGACCACAGGGAGCATGTGTCCTGAGCAAAGCCCCAGCCCTACTCAGATTAAGGTTAAACATATTCATTTCAGGACACTCTATCATTCACTCTTTGCTGCTCAGAGCCTCTGTAAGAACTGTTTGTCCCACTGCATCCCTTAGGATAGCTGTTCACTTCTTTGATCCAGTTTAGAAATTAAGTTCTTTGAGTCAAGTATTAAATTTTCATCCATTTTGTGCTAGACACCTTTGATAAAATAAATAAAAGTGAGCACCACAGAATTAAGATTTAGGAATGAAAACTCTGTACACTGGATTTTCCTCTGTACACAAGTTACTGCCACCCCACATGTTCCACTGCTGAAGGGGCTGTCCAACACAATGAGCACAATTTCTCCAACCACATAAAACCAGTATTATGCCATTAACCTACCATGTTTGAGAAATGCATGCTAACAAAATACTGGCCCAGATCTCTTCATTTTCTCTACCTGCTAATTGTGATGCATAAGCCCATAGGAAATGGCAATGATTCATGCAGGCCTGGCACACCATTTCATGGAAGTCTCCACTTTCAGGGGGAACTGCACCGAGATGCTGTCAAAAAGAAGCAAGCACATAGTAGTGAAACATCCACTGCAAATTAACAGAATCCACATTTAGAGGAAGGAAAACATCAGCTGCCATCAATTTTTCAGCACAAGTACTCACCCTTGCAATGATTATCAGAACAACTGAAGACTGGAAAGAGCTGATAAAAATTCCAGGGAAAAACTCAAATAATTCTCCCTTTCCCTACAGCCTTTTATGTCTTCCACATACCCAGAAATTCCATTTCTAAACAATATTCTGCTAAACTGTMCTAAATATTGGACAGATGAAGATACCTCTTGTATGCTGCTCATTTCAACTCCCAAATAACTTTTGATGACTGCTTCCTTACATGTAATGGGTTGTAAAATCTTCATATTGATAACACAGTCAACTTGAGAAAAATTAAGTCCCAAAGCTGTCCATAAATTGATGAGAAGTACTYGGGCAATTAAAAGCATTTAGTGGCTTTCTTCTGAAAATGCATTCCTGCAAAGCTCACAGTATGCAGGACAACACTYTTCATTCATACACTCAAACAGAAGAAGTTTATCTATAGAACCCATAATTTAAACAAATCATTTTTTTTTTTTTTTTTCACTCTTTGATCCTGCAACTTCAAACACAGAATTTCACTTGTGCCCTTCAAGGCACAAGAGGCTGAATCCTTAATGCTTACCCATTAAGTAGGGCATGCACCACAGAGCYTGACTGCTTTCAAAAGACTTCCCCAAAGGTCAAAATCAAGAATGAAAGCACAGTCTGTTCCTTGCTACTTAAAGGAATTAAGAGTTAAAAAGGCATTCTTTTGAAGGAAGAACTATTTGGGTAGTTGATAATGGTGTGCCTCAGTCAGAATATTTTCCTCACCGACTATACTGATTTGAATTTTCCAATTAAAGAGACAGTTGTAAAGTTCCTACTTTATTCTGCAGTGGTAACCTTAAAAAAGGTATGACACTTTCTAGTATTTTTGAACTGGAGTGGACAGCAGTGCAAGATTAGACTTCCARTGAACTACCATACAAACCTAACCAACACCACCTTGTTCCTGTGAAAATGGCAGTTCTGCTACTTATAGTTTCCTTACCCTTCCATGGAACCAGTCTTCACAAACTATGCATTGGATCATCTCATCTGGAATCTAGATGAACAATCACATTATTAGCATTAATAGCAACCTCCAGAGTCTTGCATAAGTCTCAACTCATGCAAATCCTGCTCAGCAAATTGCATTTCCCTCTTTACCCCTTACAGAGAGCTGCCATTAATAAGCAGTTAGTGCTTCATTAGTCAGTTTGCTTCCCTCAGGTTTAACAGCACATGTAATTTATCATACGATTGAGGCTGTGGAAATCTCATTTATCAAACAAAACCAGTTTTCCCAGCAGGCCAAGACTTTCTCAAAAAAAAGCTAATAAAAGTTAATACACTACTGGCATCCTTCTTCCTATAAACAGGAATGCATGAAGAAACAGTTCAGCAGAAGAAAGATACTGGTATGCACATTGTCATCAGGTCTGTAGAAAATAACAGAACTCAACTTACTGGTCACAACACAGTATAGTACAAAGTGCTTTGTTATGAAACAATTATTAATGATTTCTTCAGAAATGTTTACCTGTCTCTGAACTTCAGAGAGGGGAAATTAAGAAATGGGTTTTTTGTATTTGAAAGACTTGTGCCTTCATTGTTCTTTAAGACACCTGATTTCTGTGACTGCAAACAACAGCATGCACGTACTGTGTTTCAGTAGTTCAGAGAGGGAAAGAAGTGTTTTGGCTACCATCAAGGACCGTAGCTAGTGCTACAGGATGGGGCAGACTGTCCCCATCCCAGAAGCCTTGCCAGAGCATTGCTGCAGGCATGAGGAAGCAGGTTCTGGCCTCCCCTAAYACGTGTAATGCATTTATTCTGCACTAGCCACATTTCTCAAGATGATGATAACCCCATCCCSTGGGGGAACTCCGCAACTTCAGAGAACTGCAGCAACATTTTGTCCAAATGATGGTTTGTCCTCCTCAYCCGTCTTTAATGAATAAACATATTTTACCATTAAAAAAAAGTATAAAGTAATTACTTCATACAGCACATGACAACCAATACGGAACATAAGATTTCTTAAAGTGGGACTTCTTTGAAAAGCAGCTCAGTGACCACCCTTTACACAGGATCTTGCATAAATGCCACCTATATATGATTACTATAGGATTTTTTATTTCTTACCTCATCTTCAGGATCAGGATAAGGTCTTTTACAAGTACAGTACAATCCGTAGAAATTGTCATTATATTTATTTCCTGAATTCACCTTGCCCTTTTCCTAGGAGAAAAGGAAAAAAGTCTCTATATAGACAATGCAGTAAAAACCAAAAGACAGTAAAAAACCCAGTTTCTGTTCCCCTTTAATTCCTAAAAGCAATCATTATTTTTATCAGCCTCAATATACAAAAAGAGAGATATTTTCCAGACACCTCTGCTTTACAGTGAGCAGCAGATAGGGTACATRAGGAATGCTGAAGTTCAGAAGCAGAGTGGACAAACAGTCTGCTCACCTTGGTAACAAATGGCAACTGTGGTGTCAGACAGAAGAACAGACACATGCTGAGGCTCACTTAACCTGAGTTTTCACTGAATTGAAGCACAGGAAATAACCAGGTGATCCACTTCATTGACTCAAATGAGAAATGGTAACATCTTAAAGTTGTCACAGGTGTCTCTGTAGGGATCACTGCACTGTGACTTCACTTACTAGCTCTGGATTAATCCCAGAACAACATAGGCATACACAAAATCACTGTCTATGTTTGGACTGTTATTATCCTGGGGGCACCACTGCAAGTAAGCCAAGCACCATCCTGTCGCCCCTTCCCAGAAGACTGGAAGTATGAAAGTACAGGCAGCTTAATACAATAAAAAAAMCATCTCATCAGTAGGCTCCCATGACAACCTATCAAAAAATATTAGGGCATTAAYGCCCTAAAGAAGGAAAGGGAACTGTCCCTCTGACAGCAGCACAGTCCTAAATTTTCTTATGCAACTACAAAATTGTACCGCAAAAGGTTATTCTGAACCAGCTTAAAACTAATRAGATGTATTAGTGCAGAAACACCACCACAAGCTTCCAAAAGTGCACTGACCATGGATGCAGAACTGCTGCATTCATGGATTGCAAGGACCAAATGTTCCTCTCCTCCCAGCATTCCCCTTTGGTCCCTGAACAGTTTTATCTCCTGTCACAATACTCCCACCTTTTTTTTTAACTTGCTGGGAAGATTGGAGGCGTCGCATGAGTCAGCACTGGCTGAGGCAAGGCACCAACCTCCCAAGACTGTTATTTTGACTCTGAATGTCTGAAACCTGTCTGAACTTACCGGGAGTAACTTGCACTGCAGATTTTTGAACTTGCTATTCCCACAGTCACAGCGGAAATTCCTGGAAAGAAAAACGTAGCGTTTCAGGGTTTACACTAACTGAGAACACTCTGGGTTTTGTATTCTTAACAACTCCCAGAAGTTTATCGGGAGCCAGGGGAGTTGTGAGGGTCCCACAGGGCTGCTCCCGCCCCCGCGCCCGTACCTCTTGGTGTAGAGCTCGAAGAGGCGGTGTGTGCCGTGGCACTCGTAGCTGCAGGCCAGGCAGATCCCCGCCGGCTCGGCGCCGGGCGGCGTGCAGGTGCTGCAGGCGTACAGCGCCTGCCGCTTCACCGCGCCCTGGGGAGACACGGACCGAGGGGCGTGAGGGGCGCCGGGGGAAGGGGGAGCCGCCCCGGCCCCGCCCCCCAGGGCCCGCCCC